CCCGAGAGGGCCCCACCCCACCCCCACTCCCCAGAACAAAGACCCTCCACCCTAGTGTCTCTGGGTTGGTTGCTTGGGCCAGGAGCCATGACCCAGAAGAGGCTTTGGAGCAGAGGCTGGCTGGCCATCTGTCAGGGGTGCTCTGATTGGACTGGACGATGGCCCGCCAGGCCTCTTCCACCTCGTCTAGGGTTCCATGAGGGCACGGAGGGGGAAGCGTTCCCTTTGGCCTTCTCGGGCAGCAGAAGCGACGGGTCAGTCGGCTTCGAAAGACACGCAGGATGGAAATGTGCTGCCTGAGCAACCGGAAGGAAGGAAGGGCTTCCCAAGCAATGGAAGGGGCTTCTGGTGGATCCCCTTCCCGGCAGGCCCAGGACTCTTCCGCACCCAAGGCATTGCCAGTTATTTTAAGGTCGAACCCAGAACTCCCTGCTTTCAAGCTAATCTGACTTGTAGCAGGGAGTTCCTCAGTTCTCCATTGTCCCGCTTGGGCCAACCTCCATGAATGTGGCCACAGCAGCAGCTGCAACCCAGAAGCCTTCTTCTTACTTCACTTTCTTCCCCTTCCTAACATTGTAACTAGTCCCCCCAATAAAGTATCAATTCACTGTAACTTTTCTCTCTCAACAGTGTGTCTTTTACTGCCTCCAAACTCTTCTCTGCACAAATCTTTCTTCTCCCAGGCTGCAGATGGCTGCTGGCCTGCCCGGGATGCGATTTCGTGTCCCAGGGAGGCCGAAACTGCGCTCCTCTGAACCGCGGATGCAGAAACCTATTCCTGGGGGAATTCTATGTTTAATGGCTATCTCAGTTTCGCTCCGCTAACCTCTCCGCTTCAGGAATAACCATTTTTGCCTCCAAAACCTCAAACTGGAGCCCAGCTGTTTCCCTGAAGGTACTGCCTCGTCACCACCATTTTGTGGATGCCCAGGGAGCCTGCCGATCCTGGGAAACTGTCACGGTCACCCCATAGGATCCCCAAGATGTCGGCGGGCTGCCTTAGACCTTGGTGAGGAGGGATCTGTAGTTCTCTCCATGGATCTTGATCTCCAGCGCTGGCAGTCACCTCATAAGAACTCTATGGACTCTGGGACACCTTTTCCAACTTGCCTCCCATGGATTTTACAACTTTTATCAACTTTTGCCAACTTTTAAGAACTTTTGGAAACTTTCTGGAACTCTTTCCCCAAGCCCCATGGACTCCCTTTTATGACTTAGGGACTATATGATTTCATGACATTGGACTCTCTATGGACTTTGGTGGGTGGGATGGGTTTATATGAATTTCCTTTTGCCCCTTTCCCCCTGTGCATGCTTTATGAACCCCATATGTGCGTCTATGTATACAAATATGGAAAGCCACCTTTTCATGACCCAAGCATGACAAACCCTTTGGAAATTATTTCCTATTTCCTGAGGTGATTTCCCCATTGACATAAGGACTCCCAACAAAGACTTATTGCATGATAATAACAGCGGTGCATCCTGGGTCTCGGAGCATGACCGCCCAGGAAGGCACCCCATGGTGAACCTGGTCACTTGTCAACAATGGGACATCCTGCCTTCAGGGAAGATTAGGATGTCCCATCCGCCTCACTCATTGCCTTACACCTGAAACCCATGCACAGATAGTATCAATTGATCCCATATCCTGAACTGAAGATTATCAAGGCTTGGCAGCCGTGCCAGCCACTTTTGCATATTTCAACCTCTCAAGACAATGCAAGGACAGCTTGAGAAATCTCTGGATTATCACCGGTCATTAGACAACACATTAAGTCACAATAATCCACTCATTTTCCCTCTCGATTCACTGTTTCCCGCTTGCACTGCTTACTCGATTCCCATTGGCTAAGAAGCCGAAGCGACGCTGACTTCCCCAATGGCTGAGGCGCGCCTGTGTGAACCGCGCCTCCCTCCAACCGATGACTCCAGCCAATCAGCTTGAAGCAGGCAAAGGGGGTGGGTGGGAAGTTTGAATTTGTTGTTCTGTATTTTCTATAAAATGTTATTATTATTATTATTATTATTATTGTACCCTTTTCTGCCCTGCCAAGCATGTCGACTTTGGCAAGGGATTGAGGTTTGACATCCATACCAGCTGGGACGAAATAAAGACAACTCGGTGGCTGTTCTTCAACTTTGGTGAGACTTTATTTGGGAAAATTTAGGGAAAAATCTGGGGTGCTTTGCTCGTCTCGCCAGGGTTCCGGACTCTCCTTGTTGGGTCTGATTGGTCTCTGCCTCCTGGCAAAGACCCCCAAATTCTTGCTCGACATCAATTTCCCCATCACATCACCAGGCTCTGCTTCCTCCTCCTCCTCCTCCTCCTCCTCCTCCTCCTCCTCCTCCTCCTCTTCCTCCCTCGAGGTGCCTTGTTCTCCTCTGTGGCCACCCCTCCCTTGCCTACAGCTCTTGGTGTGTTTTCCTCTCTTCTTCCTCCTCCTCCTTCCTCATCTTCTCCGGCAGGGTCTTCAGCCAGAAGTCGACTTTGCTCTGCTTCAGCTTGTGGGCTCCTCTCAGCTCCAAGCCCAGCTCCAGGTAGCCCTCCTCCTGGTCGTAGCGGGGCCACTCCACCAGCCCGTGGCCGTTGGGGTTCCTGGAAGCACCAGAGGCAGGCAGAGGTGAGGCCTTGCGCAACCTGGCTCACCACAACATCAGGGCCGCGCGGATCCAAGAGGGAGCCTCACCCGCTGCGTGCAAAGTTTGCCCAGTATCGCATCACCGTCTTGCTCAGCCGTTTCTCCTCCTCGGTGTATCCCCCTGCAAAGGCTAAGAGGAAGAAGGAAAGAAGGGGCCCTGAGCATGCTTCTCAGGGAGCGGGGGGCCAAGGGGGACCCACAGATGTGGGGAGGGGAACGGGAGAGGAGCCTGTCCCTGCTCAGGGCCAGCGGGGCATCGTTGGAATTCACCCCCACACTGCCCAAGTCTCAATGAGGAACCGTTTAGTTAGTAAGAATAGGCCAAGGGTTTCCTTCCCCCATGTCTCCCCTATGACAGTCGGAATGCATCTAAGAATTCTTCTCTCCTCTCCGTGTCTGCTCTCATTCGGATGGGTTGTGTACAATGGATACTCTTCAACTACAACCCTTCTGAAATCTGACTCCTGAGTATGTGCTGTGTGCTTTGAGATCTCTCTCTGCGTGTGTCTCTGGGAGATGCAGCGCTTGGAGGATTTCCCCCTCTCTTTGGAACCTAAGAAGAGATGGGCGTGGGAGTGGCTCAGACCCAGTTCTTTCGTTTTCAGGAAACGAGGTTATGGCTTATTACTATTGTAAATAAACCTTTTGCGATATTTAAGACTGGACTCTGTGTCTTTGCCTGCCTAAGCTCTACATTCTTTACAGCCACATCACACGGCACTTCACGCTCTGCTAGCTCAAGAGCCGATGCACAACTCTTAGTATCCTGTTTGAGTTTTGGGTGCTCTGCCACATTTTAGGGTAGTTCTCCCTAACAGGCACAGGGTCCGCCTGGCCTGCCTTGGCACGGGCTGCTCTGGAGCAAGGCAGGAGGGGCCCCTTTGGCTGCTCTGTGGGGCCCAAGGCACTCCGCCCCAGTCTTTGCGGGGCCCTTTCTATCTGGGACCCTCGGCCATCAAGGGGCTGCTGGGAGTCCTTGCGCCCAATGACTTGGTGGGGGGACCTGTGGCATAGGCTGTGCTTACTGGCGTCTTATCCACCCTTGAATGCTCCTTCGTGAAGTGGAGCAGCCATTCAGTTGAGCTGCCTCCTCCCAAGGCAAAAACTGAAGCGAGACCCCCTAAACCTCCCCGCTGCTGCTCCAACCCGAAAGGCGCTCACTCCCTTGTGGAGGCCTCACCAAACGGGGAATCCTTGCTGCTTAAGAACAGCGTTCCCAAAACAAAGATGCCTTCGTCTCCGTGGTCGGACTTTACAAAAGCCGGCCTGGTGTCTCTGAAGATGGAAGGGCGATGCTGGAATTCGTAGAAGTAGACGGGGGCACCCGAGTCTTTGAAGAAAGGAAAGAGAGAGGTAGAGGGGAAGTCAGTGCCTGGAGTTATGAAGACCCCAAACAAACAAAAACACGCAGGAGGAAGCTTCCTTGGACCCGATCCTTGGGTGAGATCCCTGGGCTCCCACCTCAGACAGAGATGTCCTCAGGGTGCCTCCCCTACTCCCAGGACACTCAAAGGGCGTCCTTGAGGCCCAACGGGATCCGGTCCTTGGGGGTTGCCTTTGTAGGCATTCAGGGAGCTCAAGCACCTATTTCCTCACAGCCCTTGCCCCTCCCCCATTTGATGTTTCCTCCCAAACATCAAATGGCACACCAGTACCATGTGCTTTGTGTGAGGATTCACCTCTATGAGCTCTCGCTACCCGAAGAGCAGGAAGGACAAACATGGCGTCCCCCATGAAATCCTGAAATTGCTCCCGTAGTTCCTGGGGGTCTTCCATCTCCCCCAGATACTCCTCCAGGACCCTCTGCGTGGCCTCCACCGGGACATTCTGTGGGAAGAGAGAGAAAGGGAGCCCTCACCCGCTGCCCCACGGGCCCCGTCCCTCGACCCCTTCTTCTTTGGCCTCCCTTTGGCAGCCACAGCTGTGGCGCAGACTCTGTCTACATGGCAGGAGGCCACTGAAGTCTGGCCCAAGGGAGGGTCACTGTGTCCACTCATTCTTTGGGGGAGGAGTGGGCCCGAGTTGGGACAGAGCCCGGAAGGGAAAGGGCTTCCCCAGGGGCCAATCCGTGTGGGGCAGAGCAATGGGACACTGGAGAAGACGACCAGGGAGGTGCCTTCTAGCAAGCTTATTTTTCTGCTTCCCTGGAGACTAGAACGCAATGGAACAATGGCTTCAAAGTCTAGGAAAGGAGCTTCCACCTGAACATGAGGAAGAGCTTCCTGACACAGAGAGAAACTGTTCAGCAGTGGAACTCTCTGCCCCGGAGGGAGTGTGGTGGAGGCTTTGGAGCAGAGGCTGGGTGGCCATCTGTCAGGGGTGCTTCTTGGCAGAATGGGGTTGGACTGGATGATGGCCCACCAGGTCTCTTCCAACTCTAGGATGCTACGATTCTCCCAGAATCCCCCAGAAGAGGAGGGGCCTGGGAGGGGGAGCGGGGCAGGAAAGGCCCCCAGCCCTGGGAGGGACACGGGTCTCTCCGGCCCTCAAACCTGGGCTGCTCGGCCTTCCTTCCGCTAAACCTGGTGGAGCCCCATGGACTCCCTTTTATGACTTAGGGACTATATGATTTCATGACATTGGACTCTCTATGGACTTTGGTGGGTGGGATGGGTTTATATGAATTTCCTTTTCCCCTTTTTCCCCTGTGCATGCTTTATGAACCCCATATGTGTGTCTATGTATAAAAATATGGAAAGCCACCTTTTTGTGACCCCAGCATGACAAACCCTTGGGAAATTCTTTCCTGTTTCCTGAGGTGATTTTCCCATTGACATAAGGACGTTTCCAAGGCCGCCAAGAGGAGCCCATGGCTTCCCGTAACAAAGGCAAAACCAAGGAAGACCTCTCCCTGCCATTCTCACCTGAGTTGGAA